CCTTTAGCCACTGCGTACTTCAGACTGATGAGCTGCTGCTGCTTCCACCCTCCCCAGACACCTCGCAGCATCGCTGACTGTTACTGCTGCCCCGTGACACCCCTCGCCCAGAGCCAAGGGGCTTGCCAGCGATCCCTTGGGGCCAGCAGCGAAGAGCTCATGTTTCAGAGACGGTCCCTTCTTCCCGTGCTGTTGTTTCTGTGCAAGACACCAACCATTCGCCAGCAGGAGAAATGCTATCTCCATCTTACTCTCCCTTTTGAGAAGATAAGTTCACCAAGCAGCTGGACTCAAAGCACTTTTCCAGGATGGCTGCTCGGACCAAATGGCACGGCACGCTCCTCCCGATGCTGGCAATGACTCGGGGATGCTAATTCATCACTCTGCCTGAATTAGCCTGTGCTCTGGGCTGGATCCCATCCTTAGTTTGCCCTTCTGTTACTTATTATGGCTGGGGAGAAATGGAGTAACTTGTGTGGTGCTGCTCTGGATGGCATTAGTTGTAGCTTCTCCTAGTCCTGGATCTACCTGGCTACTGGAGTTCCTGGGAAAGTATATGTCCTGGTAGATATCGGTAGGTCAGGACATGATGGCATCTATAGGCAGGACCTCGGTCATCAGGCGAGGTGAGTAGAGGAGGTGGAAAAAGCAAAGATTCAAGCCCCCTCTTTGAAAGCAGCTGCCTGCTCAACTGCTCGTCTTATAAATCACATGCCGTGGGAGCTGGGTTTCTGTTTGCAGAACAAACACGCGTGTGCGCATGTGTGCGACGGTTATCCTGCGAAGAAAAAACCTGCTGTGCCTTCCCAAGGGTCGCTAGAAACACGCCATGATGACTGCAAGCCTGCAGACCGGCCACTGCACCATGTCAGCGAAGGCAGTGCCACGCAGGCTCTCCTGCGGGCAGAGCTGAGGCTCTCCTGGCATTTTTGGGAGAAGCAGCACCCCAAACTGACCAAGCACCGGCAACGGGGATGACCCTTTCATGGAGGCTGCCCTGAACAGAGGCTCAGCATCATCTGGGACAAGCCCTTCCTATCTCAGACCAATTACAACTATGCAAAGTTGTTTTGAACTGGACTAGAGACGCCAGAAAATAAACGCTGGCAGACGCCGAGAGCATGGTCACAGCCTCTTATTCAATGAGGCGCTTCTCCTACACACTAGTAACTTGGCAAATACTGAATTTGGGTCTAACGAAGCAAATCCCAGCCTTTTCTTGGAGCCTGGCAGAGCTAACACCCTGTTTCCTGGGGCTGGACCTTTCCTTATCCTCCAGCAGCATCACAGGAGCTAAGCCATCCGCTCGGGCTTGCAAACTGCTAGCGGTTTTGGAAAGAGCTTTCAGTCCACCTGCCGTTGGCACGCAACGGATGGGATGACACCATGCAAGTCAGAAGGCAAGAAACCTGAGTGCACTAACGGGCAGCGGCTGGTGCTGCAGTAAAAGGCTGAGGTTGGCAGTGGAGGCTGCAAGCGGGTCGGCTCTTACCTGACCACCTGCAAAAATGACAGGGGTGGAGGCGGGCTTTGGGCGGTAGGGAATGGTGGCACCTTTTGGTGGGGACTAGGAAAAGGGACAAGGAGAGGGAGAGAGAACATTAGAACAGCTTTCCTGAAACGGCGGCAAAAAGAGCGTTAGAAAGCACCCGACGGACCACGGCCCCCGGGGCCGCCGCCAGCAACACCCGCACCAGGCAAACCGCGTTTCTGGACAGGAGAACACGGGGGAAATCGGCATTTAATGGACAATGAGGACAATCTGGGGTACGGGAGATCCCCTGCCAAGGCACGGGACCCTAAATTGCTTCCCGGACCTCCACTGCCTCCCTTGCTTTTGCTCTGCTCTCTGCAAACTGGTCTAGACTCCAGCCTGATGCCGGAATGCAGAGCCCTCCTCGAAACACTCCAAGGCGAGATGGGGAGGCACTCCCCTAGACGAGGCTTTTCACCCCTGGATGCCACCAGCCTCCTCGTGCAGTGGCTTTCTGTGCAGCCTGAGAGCTCTTCCATGTCGACAGCCGGCCCTGGAGATGAACCAGCCGTGCTGAGCCGCAGGAGCTCTGGCACGGTATCATGAGCGCCGGCATCAGAAGGAACAAGCAGGACGTCCGAGTGACCAGGCACCATGCTAAAGCGCTGTGACCCCTCTCATCTTCCTCACCACTGGAACAGGGTCACCTTCAGGACTTGGTTTGGTCTATTGCCATCCAAGCTGGGAAGCCGGTGGCGGTGCAGCGGGTGCTGCCAGGCACCGTCATTGTGTTCAAGGCCTCCCATACACCGGTGGGACGAGTGGAAGTGATTCCTTCAGCCAGTGTGCTGAGCTCTGGGAGAGCAAGAGGCTGGAAACCCCTCTCAGCTGGCAACACCAGTGTTTCCAGAGATCTTATCCTAGAGCTGCTTGGCGGTAGCAGCCCATGTGAGCAGCCGAGAGATGCCCGCAGCAGAGGCAGCAACCCGCACGCACTCCCAGCCCTCCTCCTGCGGCAGTGTGAGCCGGAACATCCCACTCCTCCTGTGTGCCTGGGTAGGTCTGAGCAGAAGCTGTAGAGATGCATATCAAGCCGTAGTGCTGCATCCCGCTGCGCCGTTCATGGGATCTTCTCACCCAAGTTATTTCTGTTGGTCTTCTCTTGAACATAACTAACAGGCCATAGAAGAGATTTTGGAGGATTCTAGGGATCAGGAAAGATTTCAGATGAAAGCCTCCTGGTTTTACCCGAAGTGAAATGATAACAGTTACTGCTGTGTAAAGAAAGGCAATATGTATTATGCTACCTCATGGAAAATTCTTCATTTTTTTCCTGTACATTCTTCTAGACGTCTACTTGTAGCCAAATGGCATATCCAAACCTTCCTGATAAGCACAGGTCTGCAGGAAAGCTGTACAATCAAAGCACAGCCTCTATTATCACAAACCTGCTTTTTCTTTTATTGCATTACAAATCTTGGCAGGAACGAGCCAGGATTTCTGAGGCCAGATAATTTAAGACTGGAAGGTTTTAAGGAGCATCTCTGTGAACTGTTAAAGTCAGGGAACTGCCCAGATTCCAGACTGCAAGAAATCTCATGGGTTTTCCTCTTTCCCATTGTACAGAGGAACAGCAACCCTTGCTTTGGTTGGCAAGAGCAGCAGCCACGCAAGACTTCGTAACGCACCCACGAGCATCATCCAGGGCCCACCTCTGCTGCAGTCCAGAGCATAAGGATCCTGAAGTCACCCTGTGGCTCACACCGCACTCCTCTGGCATCAGAATGTACTGCCTGAGCATCACTACCAGCAGCGGTAGGTAGCGGCTTGTGGCAGCTCCTGCCTTAGCCATACCAGTGTTGCTTATGTTTGGTTTTGCTTCACTTCCACCAAGCCTTGGCATCCTCGGCTGACACTCCTGCAGTGACAAACGTGCTCCTCACTGCTGGAGAAGGGCAACAGTGTGCAGGCTGAGCGGCAAGGCAGAGGGGCCTGACGTGGGTCCCTGCCTGTCCACCTCCAGGAGGCACCAGGAGCAAAGACTATCACTGTCCCATGTCTCAGGGGGTCTTACTCCTGGAGCTTACCCTCTCCAAAGCGGCAGGCAAGGACTTCGGGCATGTGCCTGCTGTCAGCCCTGGCAATAAGCCATTGGTGCAGCAGCATCTCTCCAGAGATGTTGAAGCTCTGCTAGTCATAATTTCTCCCAGAAAAAGCCCACTCTTGACACACATCCATGCATCCTACGGCCCCTCCTCTCCACCAGTCTTCCTCACTGTCCTTCCCATTGTGCCCTTCTGGAGCCCGGCGTTGTGCTGCCAGCCCTGGCTCCCCCAGCACTGGGGATGATGCCCTTGGCCTCCTCCTCCCAGCCAAGGTCCTCACAGGGCACTGTATGCCCCGTGCAGAGGAGGCCAGGCGCTTGGTGGAGTGGCTGCAGCCCCCGGTCCCTTTCCATGGCCCCCCTGGCACTGCTGGGACACCAGGTTACCACTGTCCCAGCCTGCCTGGCCTCCTCCGGCACCTCCCGCTGCCAAAGCACCCTGTGCTACGACACAGACCATCTCCTTTGGAGCCCCCGACCAGGCAGGTTTCCAGCGTGGGACTCTAGAAACAACGTACAAAGATAGTGGGGAAAACACACTGGGTGGGTTTCAAACGGAGATACCAGGAAATGAGAGTGGTCCGACAACGCGTGGTGAAGGGTACGAGAGACACACTCCACAGCTCCCAGCGCAGTGGTGGTGCCAGCTGGGTTTTTTTTCCTATGTACTTTACCCCCTTTGTCACAGACTGTACCTCCAGCATCACCACACAGATCTGTTTGACACACTGGATAATTGCGTCGGGTGTCCCCGAGATTGTCACCGCCCGCTCCGTGGAGTTGGGCAGCATGTCCCCCGCCACTTGAACCTGAGCACCTGTTGACTGGAAACAGAAAGAGAGAGGAGGAGAAATCCCGCAGCTGAATGCCTTTCCCCACAGCCAGTTCCAGCTCCAACACCACGTGCCTCCTGAGAGCTGCGCTGCCCCGTGCCAGCTCAGGTGTGGCACCCTGCCTGCACCCGCAGGAGCAATCCAGCAGTGTCCCACGGGATGCTGCTCCTACGTCAGCAGGACCATCCTGGGAAGTAACATGGGGCATGATGCTTGAAAAATAAGGATCTCGCTTTCCAAGGCAGGTCCCCCCTGGTCAAAAATCAGCTCTAAGGAGTTGTGACTACGTGCCATAACAAAATCAAGCTTGCCTTACCTCCCTGATTTCCTTGATTTTGGAGCCTCCTTTGCCGATCAGCGAGCCGCACTGACTAGCTGGCACGACCAGTCTCAGCGTCACCGGAGGTTTGCTGGTAGCAGTGCTGTTGCTCATTGAGTTGGTTATGTCCTTGAAAGGAAGAGTGCAATGCATCAGCCCTTGGCACCCGACCAGAAGCCTGCATCCAGGCCAACCCAAATTCCCTCGGCTAGAACAGAGGGGTCCTGTCTCCCAGAACGTGGCCGGTCTCTGTGGCTGCATCACTGCGCATCCCTGCAGTTAATTAACTGCGAGACCCCTGGGACAGTTCACTGAGGTTCTGTTCTTGCCTAGTTAGAGATGTCTGGAAGGTTTAGTGCTGAGGTCATGTACCAGTTAAGCAAGTTCAGCCAGGCACGCATGGGTTGGAGGTCCCCAAGCCCACCTGCACTGCTGGCCCCAGCAGTGGGCACGTGTGAGCTCTGCATGGCTGGCGGGCCACCCGAGGGTCTAGGCACAGTCCTTTTTACTCTGCCCTCCTAGGGAAAGGGGTTCACATCGCTCACCTCCTCAAATTTGTAGGCGATCATGGCGAAAGCCTTGAAGATGGCATCAGTGGGGCCGGTGATGGTCACAATTCGCTCAGGGCAGTTCCCCTCCGAGATGTTGATCCTCGCCCCGCTCTGGAAAGAGAAGGGCAGCCGTGGAATAGCCACAGCCAAGCAACCCACAGGGGTGTGCCAGAGGAGCAGCCTTTCCTCTGGGGTAGGTCCTGTCCCAGCCCGGTCAACCCTGACAACCTTAAAATCTTCCATCCCTGACCCCCGTGGTGCTTGCAGCGCTGCCTTACCCTGACCCTCAGAAAGGGTTTCCAAACATTTGCTGTGGGACTTTTACTGCAATGCAAACCCACACAATCCAGGCAAGACCAGCTGGTGGGATCATTGCTTGTACAAAGAAGCGTGTTGCTTACTGATCTGACAACTCCTTTGTAGCTGCAGGCACAAAGACCTTGGACAAACTCAAGCATCTTACGAGTGACTTAATTTCAATGTTTCGTTAAGAGCAAATTCTTGGCTCTGGAAAAATTCCCATGAAATGTGATAGGAGTTTATTTGAGTACGGAGTGCGAAAACTGGACAAAAGAGCTCTGGGCAGAGCCAGCCTGTGTGTCCCGACTCTGGGAGTTACTGCACATCTCACACAGGTCACTGTGCTGCACGCTGATGGGCAGGACAGCCCAATGGCCTTTCCCACTCCTCTCCCCTCCTCCTACAAACCCTTCTACAGAGCAAGGTTGCTCACCTCCTCACGCATCTTCTTCACAGTCTCTCCTTTCTGAAATAAGAAGCAGAAACACGGGCTGTTACTAAAAACTGAAGACTTCCACCCTCAAAACAACTCTTCCAAACATACAACTCTCTACTATCCTGCAACACGTAGCCAAACATTTGGGCAGCCAGCCCTGCGACGCCTGGCCCTCCATCCCCACACAGTGGCCAGCTAAAGAGCTGAGGGTGTAAGCCATCGTAGCCCTGCTCCCCGTGTCTGCGCGACACGACAGACAAAACAGCTACGAATGCACAACTGCAGCCTCCACCTCCATTTCCACATTTCCCATTAGGAGGAAAACCGCAGGGAAAAAGCGCAGAAACTGGTCCAATGCTGAGAAAAGCTGGCAATTCAGAGTGGCTCCAAAGAGCAATCTCTGATCTAGTATCTACAGAGACCTAATATCTTTCTATTCACATATAAAGCAGGTACAACTCTGAATCTTTCCAGGGCTGGACAGGCTGATTGAAAAATAAGGCACAAGCATATTGGGAAAAGGTATTTATGCTGCAAATCTTTGTCACCTGACTTTTAAAACCGTCAGAAACCCAATCCTGTATAGCCAGGACTTTGCAAACCACCATGGCACCAGGGAGCAGAGTACCTCATGAAACTTTGCTGCACAAGCTAAATGGAGTCCTGCAGCCTCAGAGACAAGTGCTGCAGAATTTAAATGGGCCTGCATGACATTTATTAAACCTCTCTTAATGAAACTGCTTGATCCAAATGTCAGGGCAACAGAGTCATAAACACCCATTCACCACCCCAGTGAGGCAGCTGGCCACGGCACTAGGTAAGTGGTGGTTTTTTGGGGTTTTTTAGGGGAATGGTCTTTGATCCCTCTGGGGGTCTCACACAATTTCTGTCTCACAAATGCAGCAACAAGCTCATGCATACCAAACATTTAAGGACTGTGATCAGGGAAAAAGTGACTGTCATCTACCACAACACAGACAGCGAACGGTGCAGGCATGAAATGTGCATTAAATACACATTTAAAAGAGTTCCTTACCTTTCCAATGATGCTTCCAACCTCCTACAGAAAAAAGCCAAACACAAAGGAGTCGACATTACAAAACGTGAAGACAATCCAGCCCAACCCCATAATGAAGCAAAGACCTGGTGCACACTGTCCCCAGCAGAAGGAGGCAGGTATGAGAGGGACCAGGAGCACCATGTCACTGTGCCACCCTCCCCATCAGCAGGAGGACACCTGCCTGGGGCAGCCCGGGGCTGGGGAGGCAGTGCATGCGGCTGGCTGGATCCGGGCACAGCCAGAGCGGAGGCGGGAGAGGGAGCTGTGAGGAAACCCCCTCACTGGGAGACCCTTACCTTGCCGTGCATCAGCAGCCGGATGGTGAGGGTGACGTTCAGGCCGCCTTCAGAGACCTTCGATTCCATTTCCTACCAGGGGGATGGGAGAGGTGCGTTAGCTGGGAGGGCAGCCCCGGCGCAGAAGGAGACAGCACCGCGGCCGTATCACCTGGGGACAGAGAGGGGAAAGGTTTTCTCTCAAATCAGGCAGGTTCTTCAAGGTGAGATGGCCCCTGCAGGGCAACAGGGCATGGGGAAGCCATGGCTGGAGGAGCCGCAGGGAGATGCGGTGGGCTGAGCACCCGAGTGGGTGCAGATTGAGCTGCAGGGACCGTGCTGGGAGCCAGCCCCAAATGGCTCGCATCCCTGCCACGGCTTTCCCACCGGCTTTATGCAAAAGCCACTGTGGGAGCAAAGGTTCAAGCGTCTGAGGTGGCACGGCCAGGCGGCCAGCCCGCACCTGCGTAAGCCGAACAGGAGCTGTGCCCAGCTGAGGGTGTGGACGCAGGAGCAGGGAGTCGGCGGAGCAGCCTGGCCAAAGACGGCTGAACTGGGACTTTGAAAGACCCCGGGTACCTATCCAGCAAACCAAAATTCACCACTTCAGGTGTGAACGGGCACTCAAAAGCCAGTTTTTCAGTAGCCAGGAAGTATGTATCTGACCCCAGGAGCACAGAGCAGGAAGGAAGGAGGGGGTGTCCCAATTGCGACACCTTTTCATCCTGACCTGCAAGCACCCTAGGTGGGCACTGCGACTCAGGACCACGCCACTTCCAGCCATTCATGCTTTGCATATATCTAATGAAACCTCGAGTTTTTCCGATGCTGTCATGGACCCTTCCCTTCCCATTCTCTCTCCTCCTCTGCCCTCTAGAGGGAAAAACTCCACTGACATTTTAAAGGCATGGGAGGGAAAAAATCACAGAACAGCAACAAAACCTTCCTTTTCTTTCCCAACACCTCCTTAGCAGCATCTCTGCACAAGGACCCAGCGTATGAAGTGTCTCTGCAGCTTTACTGCATGGGGAGACCAGTCCTGTCTCGCTGAGAGGTACCAGCATCCTTCTACACGAAATGCCGTGAGATTTGCAGCAATTCTCACCCATGTTACTAAATCCCTCAGAATATATCAGATGGGAGATTTTTCATCCTGGTCATGAGCATCTGGCATTTTCCTTTGCTCAGACAGGGACTTATGTGACCAAAAACGCAGTTCTCAACTATTACTGTAATGCAAAGAGGCAGTCAGGATGAATTAACATGCAGCAATCATGGCTGGGAGATGGGTTTGATGTAAAACCTCTTCCAAGAAGTTATATCGACACCCAAAATGGATAAAACCCATGTGGTTAGCAGGGAGATGGTGCTCCCACCGAGCTAACAGGACACCAGAAAGCAAAGTGATGTGCCAGGAGATGAAATGTCTGCATGGAAGAGGTGTCCCTGCCACACAGGAGGACAGCTATCCCCAGGGATGTCCTGTCCCAGGAGCAATCCAGCCCAGACGCCGGGAAAGGAACAAAGCCACGACACCACTGCAGCCACCCACGAGGCTGGTACACGCCAATGCAGAGGGGCAGCTTCCCTTCCTGGCTGGCACGCATCCCCTGACAGCTGAGCCAGAGGAAGGTAGAGGCTGTCCACAGCTGGCGGTCAAGGCATATCCTCAGGCAGTGGCTATGGTGACTTGCAGAGGCAGCACTCACAAAGCCATCCTGCCCCGCACACCACCCCAAGGGCTTTCTTCTGCCCAACCGTGGTGGCCCAGGAAGCTACAGCCCGGGTTGCCAGCCCCACAGCCTGGAGCTGGCAGTCGAGGGTGGGACTCTGGGGTAGCCTGGGCTCTGCCACAGGGGTGATGAACCCCAAAGCACCGCTGGATGGCTGAGGTGCTCTAAACCCAGGCACATCCCTATGGCAGCTGGAGAACTGACAGTGCCAATGAGGTGTGTCACGACTAAGGACCGGACAAATTCGGCAGCTTGCTTTCACCAAATGTCCTACAGCGGCAGCACTTACCGCGGGGATGTCTGCCATTCCCTGCTCCACATCCCTCACAGGAGGAACCCTGCATCAGGCCGTTATGTAAATGTTTCCAATTGATTGAAAAAGTGGGTCATGTGTTAGCCAAATGCTCCTGGCTTTAAGATTTATCAGCATTATTAAATTAAACACGCTTCATGCTCCAGTGAGCGGGAAAGCTACATTGGCCTTTTCTTAATCATACTAGTGAAAGGTAAGTCTTTTATACGGGGGTTCATAAGCTCAATGGAAACAATGGGAACAACAGAGCCGAAGCATTTACCCTGGGCGCGTGCCTCCCTCCACAGTCCCTCATTCTTCACAGACAAAGGACTGGGAAAAATTATCCTCCAAACGCCATTTTGAGCAACTCTGAGCATTCCATGCCTGGAGAGACCCATCTCGGACCCTTCCTCTTTGCTGCCGTATTCTGCCTAGTTCACAGCAGCTTGGAAATGGCTTCTTTGTCCGTCTACTTGAAAACCCTGAGGACACCATTATATCCAGTCCAACGGATAGAGTAGATCCAGAGCCCAACTCCAACCCAGTGCAAAGCAGGTGCAGCCCCGCAGAGGCCAAAGACATGAGAATGAAGAGCAGAGTTTGGCCCTAAAATGGAAGCGGCACAGCGAGCCAAATGAGGCTCTGCCGAGCATTATGCCTGGGCATCTGCAGGCAGAGGATTGAAGCAGCATCCTCCCATGCACGGCCATCGCGGGAAGCAGCCAAATGTCTTTGCACTGCAGCAAGGGGAGCTCTGCAGGGTGGGGAGTGCAGTGCTTGGCGCTGATCTGCCTCAGAACAGACAGACAACGTCCTTCCAATGGACAATCGCACTGCAGAATTAGTAAGCCTTTTAAATGCAGCTGTCTTTTGGGAGAGTGCTCGGAAGAGGCATCATCAGCTGTGGAGCCCTCAACATCAGAAGGATATCAACCGCTTGGAACGAGTCCAGAGAAGGACCATGAAGATGCTCAGAGGGCTGGAGCCCCTCTGCTATGGGGACAGGCTGAGAGAGTTGGGCTTGTTCAGCCTGGAGAAGAGAAGGCTCCAGGGAGACCTTATAGCACCTTCCAGTATGTGAAGGAGCTGATAAGAAAGCTGCGGAGGACTTTTTACAAGGGCCTGTAGTGGCAGGACAAGGGGTAACAGGTTTAAATTGAAAGCGAGGAGGTTTAGATTGGATTTCAGGAAGAAGTTCTTCCCGGAGAGGGTGGGGAGGCACTGGGACAGGTTGCCCAGAGAAGCTGTGGATGCCCCATCCCTGGAAGTGTTCAAGGCCAGGCTGGATGAGGCTTTGAGCAACCTGGTGTAGTGGAAGGTGTCCCTGCCCATGGCAGGGGCGTTGGAACTGGATGGTCTTTAAGGTCCCTTCCAACCAAAACCTTTCTGTGATTCTGTGATCAGTACTCAGAGCAATCCAGTCCTTCCTTATCCCTTGGTTTTAAGATTAAATGTATTAAATTCTGGGAAATTTCCTTAATCTATCAGGATTTCCCTGTGTCTGAGAAAGCAGCTCAGGCACCAGTGACCAAGGTGGGGAAGAGGAAGAAAAATGGAAACCCAGAACAGCACATAAACTCCTCTTCCCCATGCACAAACACACACACTCCGATTCTTCTCCTTTACAGATTTTCTCTTGGAGCGATTGTCTAAACTGGCACTCTTACATTTATTCTTGCTGATACCTCACAAATACTGACACTGTCCTAAAATTTGAGCAAAACCTTCTAATTAGGGGAATTCTGAACACCGAGTATTAATTTAACTTAATACCATGATCATCTCCCAGACAGGAGACAGCATGTGAAGCAGAAGAGGGGGAGGTAGACTAAGCTCTGGGCTGGAGTTTGTTCTCTGGCCTGGTTTCCAAACGGGAGCTGGAAAAGCGGATGCTGGAAATGCCACAGCCCCCTCTGGATCGGCAATGGAAGGGGGCTAGGCTGAGCTTGGGCAAAGCCTGTGTCCCAGCAGGGGCCAGGAGACATAGCTGGCTCTGCACTTGCTGAAGCCAGCCCTCCTCCTCCTCCTCTTCCTCCTCCTATGCCTCCACTTGGGCTCCCTGTGCACGTTAGCCACACGTGAGCGAGTCCTGCAGCACAGCTCCAGCACACGCTGCTACGCCCTCTCTGCAAATGCCCAGCGGAGAGCCAAGGCATCTGCTGCCAGTACTTGGGGGGCAGCTCTCCCGAGACTGTCCCTGCTGCCCCGGGATGCGGCAGCAGCAGCCTGTGTTTCGGAGAAGGTGGTTGAAGCTCTCATAAACAAGCCCCATCACAAAACTACTCCTCTTGCTTTGGCGCTAGCATTGCTACTGCCTGCAGACCTCAACTCCAGAGGAAGGTTATCTCTTATCTGCACTAAAATGACCCAGGTGCTTCTGGGATGGACGGTCCTGCCAGAAGACAGACACACCAGGTAGAGTTTATTTGGTAGCTCTAGTCATGGAATGTTCTCATCATGGAGATCATATTCCATTGCTTCATCTAGGTATTTTTGGGGAGACAGCAATGTTTTGTTCAAGCTGTGCAAAAACAGAGAGGACAACTTGGTGCAAAAATGTTCCACAGGCATAACCCACCTCCTCCTTGGTCAGTTCAGGCTGATAAACTCCAACACCTTGGAGCCCTGTTGACCGAAAGCCCTTGCCAACCTGTGCAGGTAAAGCGCAGGGTGGCCAGGGCATCAGTCTGTGTGCCACCTGCCCAGAGGACCATCCCCAAGACAGCACCCTGGACCATCTAGGCGGTTGTGCAATGGCAATGCCACCTTGCGAAACGTCCAATGCCCTTCCTGGGCTCCTTAGTGCTCCAGGAGCCCCAGCAGCAGAAAGCCAGGTGGTAAAGATGACCAGAAAGCTTCAGTGTTCTCCAGCACACCAAGATCCACTACAGCATGGCCCAGATTTCCAACGTGGTTGGCACACTTTCACATTGGGGATTAACATCTTGGCCAGAAAGTTCATAGAATCATAGAACCATAGACTGGTTTGGGTTGGAAGGGACCTCAAAGATCATATAGTCCCAATGCCCTGCCATGGGCAGGGACACCCTCCACTAGACCAG